ACCATCAGATTCGGGTGAAGCCGGAGGATGTCCCTTAGACCACATTTCGTTCGAGATACGGTCACTTTAAGTATTTGGTAATCCCGTTTGGATTCACCAATGCGCCGACAGTGTTCATGGATTACATGAATAGGATTTTCCAGCCGTATCTGGATCAGTTTGTGATCGTCTTTATTGATGACATTCTTATTTACTCCAAGACTGAGGAGGAGCATGCAGAGCATCTGAGGATTGTTCTGCAAGTGCTGAAGGAGAAAAATCTTTATGCTAAACCTTCTAAGTGTGAGTTTTGGCTCAAATCAGTCAAGTTTCTGGGGCATGTGATTTCAGCAGATGGAGTTGCAGTGGATCCCAACAAGATTGAGGCCGTGTTGGATTGGGAGAGGCCCAAGACAGTTACGGAGGGGAGGAGCTTCTTAGGTTTGGCAGGTTACTATCAGAGGTTCATCAAGGGTTTCTTCACGATGGTTCTCCCTTTGACTCACCTTGCCCGAAAGGAGACTCCATTTGTGTGGACTCACGAGTGTGAAGATTTCTTTCAGGAGTTGAAGGAGAGATTGACTACTTCACCTGTGTTGATCCTTCTTGATCCTGAGGATTGAGCTTTACTGTGATGCTTCTAGAAAGAGGCTGGGCTGTGTGTTGATGCAGTCTGGTAGAGCTGTTGCTTTTGCTTTGAGGCAGTTGAAGCCTCATGAGGAGAACTATCTGACTCATGATTTGGAGTTGGATGCGATTGTGTTTGCTTTCAAGATTTGGAGGCATTACCTGTTCAGTATTCAATTTGCGGTGTTCAGTGACCACAAGAGCTTGAAGTATCTGTTTGATCAGAAGGAGCTGAACATGAGGCAGAGGAGATGGATGGAGTTTCTGAAGGACTATGACTTTGAGTTGAAGTACCATCCTGGCAAGGTCAATGTGGTAGCTGATGCTTTGAGTCGCAAATCCGTGAGTCTATCCAGTTTGACGATGGGTGACTTCGACCTCATAGAGAAGTTTCAAGATCTGAAGGTTACAACCTTGTTTGGGGGTGCACTTCTCGAGATGGAGACTGTGAGAGTCATGAATGAGCTTATGGAGAAGATCCAAGACGCGCAAGTGCAGAGAGAGTGTCTCGACTACGTGAAGAACCAAGACGGTGTGTCTTGGAATGAGGATGGACTTCTGTTGTTTCAGAAGCGTGTGGTGATTCCTCGAGGTTCTTTGACCGAAGAGGTTTTGGCGGAGGCCCATAAAGGATAGTTTACTATTCACCCTGGTGCTACAAAGATGTACCAAGACCTGAAGAGGAATTTCTGGTGGCCAGGAATGAAGAAGGACATAGCTGTGTATGTGTCCAAGTGTTTGATCTGCCAGAAGGTGAAGATTGAACATCAGAAGCCGTCTGGTAAACTTCAACCTCTTGAGATTCAGGAATGGAAATGGGAGAGCATTTCCATGGACTTCGTTGTGGGTTTGCCGAAGACTCAGGTTGGCTGTGACTCGATATGGGTCATTGTGGATAGACTGACGAAGTCTGCCCATTTTCTTCCAGTGAAGGTGAGCTTCACTACTGAGCAGTTGGCCAAACTGTATGTTCGCGAGATCGTGAGGCTTCACGGGGTGCCCGAGAGTATCATCAGTGATAGGGACCCGAAATTCACATCTCGGTTCTGCGAGGCACTGCAGGGAGCTTTTGGGACTCAGTTGAGACTGAGTACAGCCTATCACCCTCAGACTGATGGACAGACTGAGCGGACTATCCAGACCTTGGAGGACATGTTGCGGGCTTGCACGTTGGAGCAGGGCTCGGCATTGGATAGGTACCTTCCATTGGTGGAGTTTTCGTATAACAACAGTTTCCATGCTAGCCTGGGCATGACACCCTACGAGGCGCTCTATGGTAGGAGGTGTCGTACACCTACCTGCTGGTCTGAGGTTGGGGATCATGAGTGGTTTGGCTTGGACTTTGTCCAAGATACCACCCTGCAGATCTAGATGATCAGGGAAAAGCTGAAGCAGGCGCAGAATCGCCAGAAGAGTTACTACGATGTCAAGCATCGTCCACTGGAGTTCAGTGAGGGTGAGCTCGTGTTTGTGAGACTTTCACCTGTCACCGGTGTTGGACGGGCACTCGGAGTGAAGAAGCTGAGCCCGCGGTTTATTGGGCCCTATTAGATTATTGGTAGAGTAGGACCTGTTGCCTACCGGCTTGCCTTGCCTCCGAACCTAGCCAACATCCACGACGTGTTTCACGTGTCTCAACTTTGCAAGTATGTAGCGGATCCTTCGCATGAGGTGCAACCGAATGATGTGGAGGTTCGAGAGAACTTAAAGACTCTCGTCGGACCACTCAAGGTTCTCGATTGTGGCGAGAAGCAGCTAAGGAGCAAGATCATTCCGATGGTCAAAGTGTAATGGTCAGGAAGGACTCCTGAGGAGTGTACCTGGGAGCGAGAGGACGAGCTTCTCCGGCAGTATCCCGACTTCCGAGACAGGTATATTCTGATTTTGAGGACAAAATCCTAAAAAGGTGGGGTGAATATAAGAACCCGCACCGTTAATTAAGGAGATTAATTAATTAATTATGTGAAATTAAGAAATAATTCCATAATTGACCGTAATAATTATTATGAGGCTCTAATAATTATAGTAAGTGAGTAAGAATGTTGAAAGTCGCTTTTCGGAAGAAAAGTGCAGTTACGAGTTCTGCTAGTCGGTATAAATGCGTACCGAAAAAGTATCCCGGAAAATTATAATAAGTGCATGATAAATACTAGAATAATATGTAGGACTTGTAAAACGAGTTTCAAGTCAAAATAATGAGAACTGGTGCCAGAAACTGGTACTGGCTATGAAAAGCGCGTACCGGAAAGGTGCTCCGAAAATTATAAGAAAAATATGATAATTCTTGTAAAATCGAGTAGGTTAAGAATCCAAAGTTTGGGATTAAAATGGTAAGTATAGCAATTAAAGTTAATATTGTGTGTTAATTGGTTAAGTGGCTATAAATAGGCTTGTTAAGGCACAAAACCCTAGGCATTCAGTTTCTCTACGTGAGTTCAGTGGCTGGTCTGTTCTTGCTACTGTTTCATTGAGTTTTCTTCACCATTTTGGGGATCAAGTGTTACTTTTGCTGGGTTTCTTCATCTCCAAACACTTGAGCCTTGTGTGAGTGGCCTGTGTGAGTATGTAGAGAGCTTTGGTTCTGAGTTGAGGGGCTGTTTGAAGTTAGTTTGTGGGCTGAGTGGCCTTGTGTGAGGGTGTGAGCTTCTTCCTTGGTTGTTGGAGCTCCAAGGAGCCAACTTTGTGAAGAAAGATCTTTGCTTGAGGAGTATTTTCGTGCTCCCTTGTGTCAGCACCTTGAAGTTGACTTGTGAGCTCCAAGAGCACCTTTGGTTGGCTGTTTTGGACTTTGGTAAGTTGTACCAACCTTGTTCATGAGTTTAATGGGTTAAAGTTGATGTCTTGGTACGTTTAATGGATTAAACAAGTAACCAATTGTCATATGAACATACATGAACCTTAAGATGCATGTTTAAGCTTCTGGAAGTGTTAAAAATGGAACATTGGAAGGATATCTTCGCGAAATGCAGAAAGTGCATTCTGTCGCGAAATATCCGGATATTTGCCGTGGAATATCCGGATATGGGAATCTGGATATCCGGATATTGCCAGAGTCATATCCGGATATTGGATATCCGGATATTGCTTGTGAGATATCCGGATATTGCATATCCGGATATGTCCCCGTGGAATATTCGGATATTCTGGGTTTGCGAGGAACGGTAGCGTATTGTTCATCCAGAACTGATCTATGGGTTTGTGGACCCTAGTTTGAGGAAGTTGAACTTCTGTAATTAATTAGTGTAAGTCAGAATCATATGATTAAGGGCTTACGGCTTGGTGAGAAGCCTTAAGAAGTAAAACATAATGAAAAGGCGTTGTCTTTATGTTGTATACTTGTAGAGTATGATTGTTGATGTATTGTTGGTCCATAATAGATTGTGAATCTGCTGTGTTTGGACTTTGAGCTGTGGACTCTTGGCTTTGGGTGTTAGCTTGCAAGGTAAGCTTTCGTGTCCTCAGTTTAGCCATGTTGTGGTTCCACCATGTCCCATGGGGATATGGTTATATGCATGCTGTGTTACATGCTTTGATATATATGAATTGTTGTTGAGCTTTATGTGTTAATGGCTTTTAATATGCATGTGTTGTTCCATCTTGACGGTAAGCCTGAGTATGTGGCGTCATACAATACGGTGATCCGGGGTGGATACAAGCGGCGTCTTGTACTTATTGTGGGGTTGTAGACGTACATCCTGCATTTCTCTGGCCAGTAGATTAGTATTGACACACATGACATGATTATCTGTTGCATTGCACTGATTTAGAACTGATGATGATAAACTGCTTTTAAACTTATATTGCACATGTAAGTGAGCTTGGGGTGGAAGATCCTTGAGGACCCCTTGTCTTACTGAGATTTCTGGTTTAGAGATCTCACCCCACGTTTGGAGAATGCTTATTTCAGGGTCAGGTAGTATGGTGACTGATGCCTCTGGCGGCAGGAGGCCAGAGCTTAGCTGATTATAATATTACTGCTTATTTGCTAGCATGACTAGACTGGATGCTATTTATGTTTTTCGCATTATTATTATGTTGTTGATGTTGAGACTTATGTTGGGCTTTGTTGCCTTATTTGGGAGAGCATGAGAGTTGTCCATGCCACTATGTTGTTAGTACTTTTGAGTTGAGTTGTATAAACTGCTAGTTGGTCCGGTCTACGTGTTGTAGTTCCGTGACTAGAGACATACTTTATGTTATTTTAATTAATGAGGTATTTCAGTTAGTTGTTTTATTGCAATTGCATACAGGCGATGTTTTATTAATTGATTAATAAGCAAGTTGGTAATGATAATGACTTCATAATTGAAAAGAAAAATATATTCCGCATTTTTAATTAAGCGCAGCTTAATACGATAGTATGATAACATTACCGGATATATGCGGGGTGTTACTCTAGGCGCCAGCCTAGCAGCCAACTGCTTCCCTTTCCCTTTTCCACCAAACTTCCTATCTTTCCAGGAAGTGGAACTACCGGTTCCCTTAACATCAGCTACCTTGGCCCTCTTGGCCTTACTCACAATGCAAACATCCTCAATGTCCCTACATTGTTGTACCAATGTACCAAAATCTCTTGATGCAGCACCAGCAATACGATCAGTTATTTCCTCATTAAGTCCCCTACGAAACTTAGAAGCCAGAAATGTCGGGGTAGGCATAATAATACGGAAATGTTCAAATTTGACCAGTTCATTGAACTTAGCCAAGTACTCATCCACAATCATTGAGTCTTGCACCAAACGGTCAAACTCTCCTTGTTTTCGCTCCTGCGCATCATAGAGAAAATATCTACCCATAAAGCAATCCTCAAAGAATGGTTATGTGATGACATGACCCTGCATCTCGTAAACTTGAGAGGTGTTCGTCCACCATTCATGAGCGTCTCCCTCCAACATGTAAGTGACAAACATCAGCTTCTGGGGATCAGTGCACTGCATCACCCTGAATATCTTATCCAGGGCCTGAAGCCATCTAGCAGCAGCAATAGGATCATAGGATCCATCAAAGGAAGGAAGCTTATGCTTGCAGAAAGCATTCAGCCGGCGATCAATCACATATCTATCCTCCGCAGGCTCAAAGTAGGGTTGCATCTTCCCAGTAAGATGACTGGCTCTCTCCATATGACTCTGACTATCGTCCTGATGACTGGGTGGTGGCGGTGGAGGTGGTGGCGGAGGGTGCTGGCCACCAGCAGGACCAGTCCTCATCTCCTCCAACATGACCCTCATCATGGTCATGTTCGCCAGGCGGTTTGCCTCCAGCACATCCTCAGTGGCTTTCATGTTCGCCTCTCTGACGGTGTCCAGCATAGCCTGGTTTGCCACTCTCATGGCTTCCTGGTCGGCTTGTAGAGCCACCTGCATCTCAGCCAATGCATCCAGGACTAGGTCGGGTTGACCCTCTCTTGTCACTTTAAAATGGAAAAACTCAAGACAAGTGATGGTGCTTACCACCCAAGCTCAAAATAGCAAGCACAAGTGCTCTTGGAGCTCTCACTGCAGCTCCACAAGTCAGACTTTACAAAGCTACAAAAATGGTGATCAAAGCTTGGTTCTTTGCACAAAAGATGGCTTCTCTGCACCACAAATGCCAAGCAAAAAGGTTCACACGCCCTCAACAATGGAGTTAGCCCCTAAACCTTCCCAACCAGCAGCTCCTATTCAGCAAGAAGGTGCCTATCTCCCTCACAACACACACTCTCAAGTCCTCACAAGGTGGAAGAGGAAGAATCAAAGAGAAATGATGGATTTTTCTTAAAGGAGGAAGGTGGCAAGTAGGAGAGCATAAGCAGCAACCAAAAACCCACCTAGAAAGGCTGAAGGATCAGCCTAGGGTTCTGTGTAAAATGGTATTTATAGACGGTTTAAATTTAACCACATTGTATTAGCACTAATAGCTACGCTTAGCATTTTAATCTCAAACTTTGGATTCTGAACCTAGCCATTTTTCTAAGATTTATCATATTTTTATTTTATTTTTCCCAGCACTTTGCCGGTACGCACTTTTACGTAGCTGGTATCAGTCTTGACGCCAGTTCTCATTATTTTGACTCCAAACTTGACACACTAGTCCTAGATATTATTCTAGTGATATATACATACTTTTCATAATTTTCTGGGCTACTTCATTGGTACACATTTATACCGTGAAGCAGAACCGGTATCAACACTTTTCGTTAGAAAAGCGACTTTCAGCATTAATAATCAATTACTATAATTATTTAAGCTCTCTCATAATTATTCAAGGTCAATTATGGAATTTATCTCTAAACTCATAATTAAATTAATTAAATTCCTAATTTAACAGTGCGGGTTCTTCCCAGACCAAGATATACAATGAAGATTCTATCAAGATTTCTACGCAAAGGCACAAACTCTATAAATAGAGACTAGAGCCCCAGAAACAGACATCTTTGGCTAGAGAGAATTGTGAGCACAAAGAATTGAGAGAATTCTTGGAGACTCGCGCTGGAGATCAGGATTTCAACGGAGTTGAAGACTGAAGACCATTGATCCTTCATCTTCTTCTTCTTCTTTTTTGATTTTATGAACAATTTTTATTCTTTTAATTTTTTTAAGTCAGACATGAATATGTCTGGCTAGTTTTCTTTTTGTAGTTGGGATCACGAACCCGATGTGAATCCTTTATATTTTCTATATTGTTTTTATAAGTAATTAGTTTAGTTAGTTTTATTCTACCTATGTTAATTTTTCCATATCCTTATTAGAACTGATCACTCTAATTATAGGGCTTTGAGGGTTAGGTCTCACAATAGACATCTTGGGGTTTTAATCTGGACAAGGTAGAATAAAAATTTGTGCATGACCTAGACATAGGCTTACATAGATTGCAGACTTTTAATTCATTTGCTTAATGCTTAATTCAAGAGGAGTTATTAGGACACTAGGATTCTAATTGGGTTAAAGGGTTGAAATCACTGAAACATTAGGATTCAACTATTTTATAGGGAAATAATGAATTTTCTAAGCTAATAACCTAGTTAGTTATAAAGTACAATTTAGAAATATAAGAGAGGATCAGAGGTGAAGTGCATCCTGGCTACAGTCCTTTTACAATTAGTCTTTGGTGCATTAATCCTCGAGGGAACGATATCTTACTTATCATTTTATTACTTGAAACGAACGGTATACTTGCCGATTTCGTAACAATCATCATCATTAATGCCATCATCGCCCTCAACATCACCACTGTTCATGACCTCATCTGTATCCTCTGCGAAATTACCCATATAGGACCAGAACATGGTGACTACATAAAGCTAGTCGAGAATGTTGTAGGAGTGGCCATAATAGGGTCCGCAAATTGTAGCCTGTAATCCGTTGTAAATGAGTCCAAACTCGGATTGGGCTATGCACTGGTCTTGCCTGGATACATGTGAAACGTTTGTGGTGGAAATCTCTGCTAACCCATGGGCAGGACTGAATACCAAAAGGGATATTGTGATGGAGGGAATCCATGGTTACCACTAGTAGATGTGCCTAGGGCATACTATGGGGGTCATCAATATTGCTGAGATGGCCCAACAGGGTACCCCAGCTCATAGAAAATACTAATAGGGCGAGGAGGAAGAGGCTGTATAGTGACAAGCCTATCTGCAACAGCCAGACTAATGTAGTGTGGAGGTAAACTCTCGTAGCACACACATTGATTACGATGTTCCTCCACGGAGGGTCCTGCGTCTGACGAATGGCGGGCAAAGGTGTAGGCTCTCTAGGGTCCGTCAATCTACCTGCCTCATCGCACACGGCTAGAGCTCGGAGTGCCTCGTGGTAGACTTGGCGCATGGAGAACGCCTCCCTCGACTCTTCTAATGTCATGTGGACGACTGTCTCCTCTCAGTCGGCCTGCGATTAATACATTAATAAAATACGTTAAATCTAATACGTCACAATAATAAATTAGGACAAAAAAAAAATAGCAGATTACTACCACATGCGTATTTATCGCCCCTCTTTAGGTCATCTAGCGATGAGTAACGGTCCTATACCACTGAATATATACCTATTGACTAATAGGTGGCCGTCTCCATGCAAAGGCTAAAGCTCCTACAACACAAGGGCGTCCTGATAGCTGCAGGGATGTCTCCATTTGCATACCAAATAATGGTCTTGTCGGGTATCTGATCATACTATATAGCCAACAAGAAAAGCTCATTATTAGGAAGTTGGTGAAATCCAAATGCAAATTCACCTGAAGGAAAAAGCCACTGAATTATCCCATTGCCAGCAGTTAGTGAGGCACCAACACTTACACCTTGATCCATCAATCCCAGGCTACATTATAGAAAATAATTTTTACTTATCTTTGAGAGAGAAGGAAGTACCCTTTTAATTGTTCTTCAAGCTTAAAATCGTAAAACTACTTATTGATAAACCTTTGGTTTACCATGTTTTTAGGCTAAATTATATGAGAAATATATCATAGATTGTATGGAATTCAAGGTTTTACAACATATAAATCATAAGATAGGAATATGAGCTAACATTTTGATTTTCTTTGCATTTTGTAGGTAAAACCACACTTATTGGTGCTAAAAAGTGATGAAGAAATTATGACAAAGAGTTGCAGCTCAAAATGAACCCAAGGAAGCCAAAATAAAATAAGTCAAGGGCCAGAAGAGCACACTCAAGCGCACAGAATGGACGCTCGAGCGCGTCCAGGCAAGAAAATCAGCTAAATTGAGCAATCTAGGGCGCTCAAGCGCCCAATAGCACGCTCAAGCGCCCAAGACTACAAGAGTTCACCATCGAGGAGCACGCTCGAGCGCCCATATGGCCACTCGAGCGTGTTTGGACAGACAGAATTCCTAAATTTATGCACAGGAGCGCGCTTGAGCGCCCAAATATGAACCCAATCAGCCCAAGATTTGATTTGATTTGCTAATTGATATAGATTTGTAATATTCTGAATAAAAGCGAAAAGAAATCAATCTTGATTTATTAATTGATAGAGATTCATGGGGAGATTGGATGAAGAATTAAAAAGATATGACTTCAATGGTTATAAATAGGGAGCTAAGGGTCAAGAAAAAGGGGAATTCACAGACACACAAGGAATTACACAGAGACTTGAGGGATGAATCTTGTTGCGGAGCGTTGGAGCACTGAGGAACCAAGTCAACATCACACCAATGGAGGCTTGGGGTTCTCTTTTATTTATTATTGTTTTTGAATTCAGTATGCTAGGCTAGACTTTTATGTAGTTAAGGGTAGATGGAACTCAATTGAATCTTTATCTTTATGAATTAAATATTCTCTGAATTCTTTTCTTTTTATAATTAAATAAATTTATCTGTCTTTAATGTTTTCTATGAGTTTGCTCCTTATATATTGATTTAGGGGAATTGTATGACAATAGGGATGTTGGTGCATGAACCCTGACTTGGTAAATTTATCATAATCCTTGTGATCTAGGGATAGACATAAGGCAATTGTGCAATCTTTAAATTCTTGATCTTAATGCATGTTTTCTTGGGGAATAATCGGGGAACTAGAGTTCTTTCAAGATCACATAGATTTAGGGTAACAAAGAATTGAGCCCTAATTAACTTAGACAAAATTGATTGGCATTATATTAAGAACGGATTCTTGACAGTTTAATTCATAGCATATAGAGGAGATTGGAGGAAGTCGAAACCTTAACTACGCTTTTTCTTGATTTTCAAAACTTTCATCTTTTTACTTTCTTGTTTTTAATTCTGAAATTGCATGTTATTGATTGTTTCTAATTTCAATTCTTTTCATCTCAAATTCGATTGTCCAACTAAATCGTTGTTAGTGAACTAGTGCTTGAAAACCAATCCTCCTGGGAACGATCTCGTACTCAGTACACTTTATTACTTTTACGACCAGTGCACTTGTTGAAGTCGCAACAAGTTTTTGGCGCCGTTGCCGGGGATTTGGTCCTTCAACATTATAAGAAGCTATAAGCAATCTAGATTGGACTTTTATATTTTTCTGCAATTTAAATTTTCTGTATAATTTTATTCTATTATATTCTAGTTTTTTTAATTTTTTTTAAATTTTTTTAAATTGTTTTTTTTTAATTTTTATTTTTTTTTATATTTTCTTTTCAAATTTTTAACTTTTAAATTTTTTTATTAATTTTTTTTTTAAATTTTAATTAAATTTTAAATTTTTTTCCTGCATAATTCTGCATTATATTATTTTCTGTTTTCTATTTTCTGCATAATCTTTTA